CCCCAAAACCCCAAAACCCCAAGCTTCGATCCTTAAGTGAATGATTTATGAAATTAAAATTTTAAATGAATGTTCATTATTCTCTCGTTTTTACTTTATTACTCATATCTTATTTTTGAAAATTCCGTTTCTAATTCTTGCACTTGCTAAACTCTCACCAACAATATTAGTGTATGCACCTTTATTTCCATAACTCCATTCGCTTATGGTAGTCTCAGCAGTAGTTAGATTTCTTCCTAAAATCCTACTAGTAGTTTCGTTTACTATACCCTAAGTTGTTCTTGGTGGCTACAGTAATGAACCAGTTAAATTTTGTCTGTCTTGTCCTCTAGGTCCTCTTTATGAATAAAATCCACATCCACTAGTTATCACACTAGGACTTTAACCTATATTTTGAATTGAGGGTTGAATTATTGAAGGAGAAACTTATTGCATACTACTCATCGTTCCTTGATCTCTCTTTATCAAAGTAGCTAAATCCTCAAAATTAAATACTTTCTTCTTAAGGAATCTATCCTAGTTTTTATTCTTAACAGATAATTAAGAAGATGAGGCAAAAGCAGTGCCTGGTTTCTATGGCTAAAGATTTTCTTCTATTTTTAGTTTAGATGAGAGTCTTTTATTCATAAATGGTTATGATTAGGGTGTATTTAAAGATTCTCTTGTTATTTATCTGAGAATAGGAATATTTATATGAAGAGAAGTTGATTCAGTTGGGAAATCATACTATTTCATTGAAAATGTATCAAAGATCTCAATGCTTCCTTCGTTAGCCAATTATCCGGAAAATCTTTTTACTGGCTTTTTACACAATTTTGGAGGTTAAAACATTCTAGATTACTTATCATCACTTTGCATGGTAGTAGATTTTTATGTATCCATGATTTGAAGTTCATCTTATTCTTTTATTGAAGTATCTTTACATTTTTCTTTAGAATTTTCCTTTTAAGATTCTTTAATATTATTTCTTTTAGATTATGCCAAAGTGAACTTAATATTTTTCAATGTATCAATGAATTGCAAATGCTCTTTTGATCTATAGCAGTTTACTGAGTCTCTGTCATCTGAGAATACTCTCAGACTGCTCTTACTCTTAAATATGCTTTCTCTATGCGTTTTATTATCGGGTCTATTTCTCGAATTGTAGTATCTAATCCAATTCTCCTTCTTATTCTATTTAGATCAACCTCTATCTTTTAGTTCTGTATCTTGAATTTCTTCTTTTTACTTTTCCTCTTAGTTGTTTTCTATTCTTCCAATTGAAATCTATTAAGTTTTTTTTCTCTCAATTATAAATTTAAAGAGATCCTTACTTGGACTTTTCTTGACAAAATCTTTAATTTTTTCACTTTCCTTGCTCTTTTTATCAAAATTCCTTACGAAAGACATATATCTCTCAATCTTTTCATCACTTTCTCTGTCAATGTCCAAAATATCTACATTGCCATAAAGTAGTGTAGGAATTTTTTCAAATACTTGCCTATCAATATTCCCTTGTTCATACTTTTCTCTTATTTCTTAATAAGTTTCAAGACTTTTTGGAGTAGCAAATACCGATGAATACTACTCTTACAGTTTTCTTATTATTTCATCTCTTTCATAGATCTCTACAATTTTCTCCTACTTTATTTGTTCATCATTTAGGTTCTAAAGTTTTTTAATATTTGTTCGCTTTTGCATCTGCTCATATATATTATGCTAGATAAATCTTCTGAACGCTCCTTATAGAATAATTGGATTTTTGTAGTCACCTTCTTGCTAGGATTAAAACCTTTCAATAAGTACATCAAGCTCTAAATATAATTAAAAAATGTAATGATTTACCTTTCTTTGATAAATTATCAATAGCATTCTTAATGTTTTAAATTCTCTTGTTATCAGTTCCGATATGAAGATCCCATTATATTGGATATGGTAGCTTTAGTGAAATATTAATGATTGGCTAGAGATCAGCAGCCACATAAATCTTGAAAATCGGTTTCATTGTGCTTACAAGGATGAAATTTTATTCTTTAATTGTTACAATTTTTTGTAATGTAATCGGCTAAAAGTATTAGAAATAAAATGAATACCATGTCAAAAGCTATTTTAGTATCAATAAGCTTAAAGTTAGAAATTTCTAGATGTTCTCTCCCTACTACTTGATTATTCACATATACTCCTTAAGGAATAATATAAGCTCCATTTTTCTCCTGAAATTTATCATATTCATTTTGAAGTTTCATATTGGTAGCATTAGATAGAGTTTTTAATAGTGATGGCCTTCTTTTCCATATTTTTACTTAGCTTTGATACTATTAAATTTCACCAGAATTCAATCCAAGATACATCATCTAGTCGTCAAGTGTAATTTATGTAGCATACTGAAGTATCTTCAAAGAAATTCTATTAACAAATATTTTATATAAAATCTTACATTGAGAGTATCAAACAAGGCTATATACCACTACTCATTTTGTAGAAATGTACCTTACCATTGTCAAGGCTTAATATTATGATCTTTGCTAGAGTAGTTGAAAATTTGCCTTTCACAATGAATTCATTTTCAATCACATTGATATAAGTTTCAAATTTCATTGATTAGATATCCCAAATTATAACTCTCTTTTGTGTGAAGAAAGCGACATGATTATTATAATGATCAATTCCAATCACTTCATCCTCCTTTGGGTTATTTGAAAAGCCTATTGGGTTTTTGAGAAGTCTTACAATATTTCCATGTTTATCCAGACTCTGAACCATAAAAAGGTTTTCTGCCTATGAATAAGACATCAACCAATTCAGTGAAATATCATCAGTAATGGCAATATAGGTTATTTCAGCTTTGTGAGAGACCAATGAATAAGACTTCTTTCCATTTATTACTCCGTAAGTTTCTATTCTACCATAGATATCTGCTGTGATAAAATGCTTCAGAGTCTTGTCCAATACCATACAGCATATAGAAGTTTGGATTTGAGATATATTTTGATATAATTTAGTCGTTTGACCTGTATCTCCATCAATCAACCTGATGTCTTGTCTAAATAAATTATAATACTTTAACTTACTTAGTTGATAGGACAAGCATTTTATTCTACTAATTATAGAATACATCGACTATCTCAAGATTTTCATCCATGTCAATTTATTTTTGTGAAAACTGATTGTTTCCCTCCTCTATTCTATTTTCAAGTTTAAAGTTAAATAGATAAATTCTATTTGAGACCACGAAAAACTTATATGGATCTATGACACATATTCCATGCACAAGAGTATTGCTAATAAATCTATGTTAATTATCAATCTTACAATTGAAAGGTGAAAGTTTGAATGCATCTATTAGAATTCAGATCCCAACTTTTGACATTTGACATCTCGTCTGCAGATAATAGCTAATTAGTTTCTTGAATCAAACAAATTGCGGTGATCATATAATCATGACCCTCAAGCATTCCTATCTCAGTAAATTCATACGGAGATTCGCATATCCAAAATTTAATCTTAGTGTTGAAACATGCAGTGTAAATTCTTTGATCATTATTACTATAAACTATTGAGTGACAACTTCCCCATTCAGAGAAATCGATGATTCTCGTTATTTCTCCAAATCTTACTACATCCCAAATAACTAGCTATTAATCCAGAGATGCTGTAATAAAGGTTTTAGTATTTTAAACTTCTGTAATGCAAGATATTGGTTTCTTATGAATTCATCTTAATGGCTTTGGAATAACATTTTCAAGATGCCAAGCAAAGAGGTTATTTAGTTTATCAGTCGTAAACCAATGGTTGCAATGCTCCAAGAACCAAATTTTAGTTTATATTTCTTCAAGATTATAGTTAACATTAGACTCGAATTTAAACAGCTCACGGTAATCCCAAAAACATATAGTGTAATCTCTCATAACTGCTCCTACTCTTTTATCTCTTTCAGATAAATCAAAATCTAATATAACTGTATCAAACACATGACCTCTATCTAGATTTGCCTTACCACTAATTTTAGTCTTGAAGTCTATATTGAGATGACTATCATACATAAAAATCTCATCTGATTATTAATCTAGACAGATTATCCTTTCAACGTTTTTGGAGAAAACAGCTTTTGTAATCCCATTTTTATGTTTCCTCTTGTCAATAAATGGATCTAGTTCGAATATTCTTGGGAGGTTACTCTCCATGTTAGTGATTGAGTCTGCGATTTTCCTCCTATTTTTCGATTATCTTATCTACTGAATTTAAAGTTTAAAGTTCTGCTAATCTATATTCTCATCAACTATCAACATGATTTCATCTGAAATAATCTTCCAATCAATAGGATAAACAACATTCGCAGTAGCTACTTTTGCTTTTGGACTCTTTCTAGCATTTGGAGAGCTATTATTGTCCCTATTAACTGCATTCAATGGATTAAGGGACATTTGAAATTCAATTTATCCTTATATGCTGTGAAATAAATCTAGTAATGTTGATTTGATATAAATCTGATCAACATCATTGATAAGGTTTTCAGCATTCCCACTTTACCAAAGAGATCTTTATATTTCTGTTTTGAATACTTCAACAAATTAACTAGCTTAATATAGCCTAGGCACTTTAAAGGCTTCATATAGATTCTAGAATGCTGACTTATCTAGCAATGACAATATGTATCCAAGTGAGTATTAGTCCGTAACATATTCTCCGTACTCATTTTTCCTAGATGCTACCTGTGAAGAAAGTTTTTCCATTAGATGTTTTTTAAATTAACTTTTTGATAATTTATTTGAAATTTCCACCTTTTTTAAATTTTAATTTTGCTTGATGGGGTTTTGGGGTTTTGGGGTTT